TTTTTTTTTTACAGTATTGATTGTTTTATTTGGTGTGCAGAAGCTTTTTAGTTTGATATAATCTGCAAATGGGAATTCATTTGTTTTTGGTTTTGGTGCCTATACTTCTGAGATCTTACTAACAACATTTTTTCTAAGACTAATGTCCTGAAGCATTTCTCCTGTGTTTTCTTCTGATAGTTTTATAGTTTTGTGTCTCACATTTAGATAGTTGATCCATCTTGAGTTGACTTTTGTATAGGGTGAGAAGTGGGGGTCTAATATCCAGTTTTTCGCCCAGCACCATTTGTTGAAGAGACAGTCCTTTCCTGAATTAGTGTTCTTAGCACCTTTGTCAAAAATCGGTTGGCTAAAGATACATGGATTAACTTCTGGATTCTCTATTCTGTGCCATTTTTCTATGTATCTGTTTTTATGCCGGTACCATTCTGTTTGGGTTACTATGATTTTGCAGTATATTTTGAGGTCTGGTAGTCCAATGTTTCCACCTTTTTTTTTTTTTTTTTCCTTAAGATTACTTTTGTTGTTTGAGGTCTTTTGAGGATTTATATAAATTTTAGGATAGTTTTTTTTTTATTTCTGTGAAAAATGTCATTGGAATTTTGATAGGGATTGTATGGAATCTATAGATTACATTGGGTAGTATTGTCATTTGAACAATATTAATTCTTCCAATCTGTGAACATGGGATGTCTTTCCATTTGTTTGTATCCTCTTCAATTTCTTTCATCAGTGTTTTCCTTGTAGAGGTCTTTCACCTCCTTGGTTAAGTTTACTCCTTATTATTTTTGTACCTATTATAAATGTATCCAGTTTTCTGATAGAAGAATGATGCCTTTTTTAGGCACTAATGTCTTTTATCATCTCTTCTGTTGAAAATCGTTTGTTTTAACTTGGAGAGTTTGCCTTTCAAGCAATACCCAGTAGATTATAGAATGGTGAGTGAATTTTGCCAAAGAGATGAAGCAGTTGATCTTAAGACAGGTTATTGTTAAGAATATGCATGGGTGCAGTGGCTCACACCTGTAATCCTATTACAGGTGGCTCATACTTGTAATCCCAGCACTTTGGGAGGCTGAGGTGGGTGGATCGTCTGAGGTCAGGAGTTCGAGAACAGCCTGGACAACATGGTGAAACCCTGTCTCTACTAAAAATACA